AAAAAAAAAAAACGGAAAAAAAAAAGGTGACGTTTTTTTTTCCCGATTTGAACTTGGACGACGAGGATGTTGCCATGAAGTGTTTTTCTTGCCTATCTGAACTACGAAGACGTTCATGTTGCCATGACGTGTTTTACCTGCCTATTTTGAACTAAAAGTGTGACTCCGGAGCAGGTTCCTCTTTTTGATTTCGTTAAAGTAGACATTTTATATTTTTTGAACGAAATTGAAACCCACTTATTTCGCCTTGGAAATGTCAGCGTTTTAAACCACCAGTACTTCCTGAAGTCCTGGGTACCACGTGGCACGATTTTAGGAAACGTACGGGCCACTACAGGAGCACCCAAATTCATCCAACTAGAAACGTTTCTAGTCAATTGTTCTCAGCGGCGGATAGCTGGGCCAAGTACTGGTGGTGGTTTAACTCCTTAGGGTCCCCCTTGGAAGTACCTGAACTTCAAATGGACCCTCAGGAGATGAACAGTGATATTTTCTGGGTGAAAAAAGAAGGTTTCAATTTCGTTCGAAAAATATAAAATTTCCGTTTTGACGAAATCGCTGTTCACTGTTAAGTTCTGAGTCTGGATCGGAGAACAGAATCCCTGAAGAGGAAATGGTTAGCGATAGAGCAGACAGATCATCAGTGCAGCATGTGCCCGGAAAGGGCTGAACATTAACGAAGGGAAGAGCCACGGGGCAACATCAACGGAGAGGGAGAAAAGGAGAACACTCAGACGAGCTCTCGGCGTGAATTGCACAGGGAAGAGATGATAAAAGAGAGGGTCATAGACGTTGCCCGAAGTGAGCAGAGGGTAGATAATGTCTTTATCGAATTAAGAAATACAGGGGAAGCAGAGCCATCTTTTCTTGAGATGAGGAGGCGAGGAGAAGCAGATTGAACTCATCCATCCCATGGAAGAAAGAGAAAGAGAGGGTATGGTAAGATCAACCCCCAAAGAGACGGGAAAGAACACCTAAATCGAGCTCGTTGGGCAACCAACGGAAGAAGAAAAAGGAGGTGCAATGTGCAGACCCAAAAAAAGACAAATCTATACCTTTCTCGGCCTTTTGGCTAAGATCAAGTGTAGTATCTGTTCTGATCAGTTTAATATCTGATCCGTGGTCCATCGGAAAAAGAAAAGAAAAGAAAAGAAAAAAAGACAAATCTGGATCTTTAGGGGGGGAATTCCTGACAACGAGCAAAATGATGTTCAAATAACCGGAGACTCACATAGACCGATCAGCTGTGGCGCTATTCCGCGTAATGCGGAGAGACGTACAACTACGATTATTAACTAATATTAAGGTATCGAAAAAATAGAATGTTAATGTGTGCTGGGCACAACCAGAGGAGAACAATAAGAAAAAGGAAAAAAAACAAGTACGAATGTATTCCAAGGCACATGGAGTCAATGTACAGTCAAACTTTGCCTCCATAAGTAAAATGAAACGTCGGTAGCCGACGCCTTGAGACAAATTGCCTTAATTTTCGTTGCAAAACCCGCGAAGGCAGACAGGGATAGCAGAGATCTGCAGTGCCTAAGAGCGGAGAATTTTCTCTAAACTCTTCGAGCTTCACCAAAAACAACAACAACAACAACAACAACAACAACGTACTTTGGGACAGCCGTTAACATTGGAATGATACAGAGAAGAATATCATGGCCCCTGCGCAAGGATAATACGCATGAATCGAGAACTGGTGCACATTAAAAAAAAAAAAAAAAAAAAGTTGGCCAAAGAAGAAAAAGCGTAGTACGCAGATCGGTAAGAAATACACCCATTATTTCCTCATTTGTCTGAGATAACCCGGGCGGTCTGCATCTGCATGACACTAGCGGCCAAGTGCATTCACAAGCACCTGGCCTGTGTAACAATGCAGAGCCAGACCGCTTGAGAGTACCTCAGTGACGAATGCAACGATCGAACATATCTTGGACCTGTTTCCCAAAAGGGAAAAAGAGCAGCTTTGTCCAACAAGCCCCTAAAGAAGGGGGGGGGGAGGACGGGGGGGGGGGGGCAAAGAAAAAAAAACAGATGAATCAGCTGCTGACAAGTGGATTTATGGAGGCTGATTTACCGAACATTAAATCAGATGCAAAACGAGAGACTACATACATAAACCAAGCATTCATCAATCAACAAGTTGAAATCAATCAATTGCTTACACCCATCAGTCCAAGCAATTAATTACTGAAACTCAAGGAAGCAATCCATAAGGGAGTCGTTCGTTCAAAAACGAAAGCAACCACCACGCTGGTAGTGTGCAGATGTTATCGATCATAGGACCTACGAAAGAGGCCAGGACCCAAAAAAAAAAAAAAAAAAAAAAAAAAAAAAAAAAAAGAAGAAGAAGAAGAAGTAGAAGAAGTAAAAGAAGGCCAGGGCCACCTTACTGCGGGCAAGCTCACAACCCGACAGATTTGAAAATGCATAGGAGAGAACGAGGAGAGAAGAACACGGTGGAAGGGGAGGGAGATAACGCAGCCAAAAAAGCAGGAACGTACAGATACGAAAACAAATATTACTACTAGTACCAAGTCCCATACCGCCAGCTTCAACCGCTGCTACTCAAAAAGAGGCAAAAAAAAAGGAAAGAAAAGAACAAAAAGGACGGAAAAAGCACACCCACTTAACAAGAAACTTTGTTGAAAACAGAAGCAGACAAATATATAAAGAAGAGAAAGCACCAGTACTTGGCATAACAAGCACCTGATAAACATTTGCTTTGTTTTACATCAATTGGTTCAGACACCAGCAGCCGCTGTAATGTTTTATTGAAGTGGAGGTTTGTCTCTTACAAACGAGCATAATTATTACGAAAGCTCGATCGACGTCTCTTGACAAGTCCGTCACGCCAGACTCCACAATGTGCGCGCCGCTCTTTCTTAAAAACACACCCAATTATGAGAAATTGAATCTAAATTTGCGTTCAAGTGGTACCGAAGTACTGCAAAAAATATCACCACGTAGCATTTCCAGTGTTTCGAGTGTATAAGAAAGTCCCTGTTTAAAAGGACGAAGAAGTTGATCAAGACGAAAGAGGAGGACAAGGAGGAGGTCGAGGAAGAGAATAGGAGGAGGAGGAGGAGGAGGAGGAGGAGGAGGATGAGAAGAGAGATATTACGGTCACTGGCGATGCCGGAACTATCAGAACCGGCTTGGTCAATGGCGATGCAGACACAATCACCGCTTGCAAGCGATGATAGCCTGACACCTAAGCTAACCTATACACATCTCAAACAAGTTATCAACGAATAACTGCTCACAGCTGCAAGACCAATCCTCACCGTCCGCTGCTTCGACAAGATTTGTCTCTGAAACTCAACATATCATTACTCCTTTGGATCGGCCGACTCGAAGGGCGGGCAGCTTCTTCGCCGCCTGCCGCTGCACTTCGGTGCGGCGTCGTCGCCACACCTCCTCCATCTCCCATCATCATCACCATCATCATCATCAGCAGCTGCACCTCTTACCAAAAGAGACCTCTCAGAAGCTTGCGCGTCGTGGACTTAGGGCTGCTTGAAGATGCTGCGGGCGCTTTCTTTGACTTGGGGGCGGAGTTAGACCTGGGGGCGGAGATAGACTTGGGGGCAGATTCAGACTTGGGGGCGGAGATAGACTTGGGGGCGGAGATAGACTTGGGGGCGGAGATAGACTTGGGGGAGGGTTTAGACAGCTGTCCTCCAGGAAGAGGAGGAGAAGCGGACGCAGCCGAGGGGCAATCAGTGAGGATCTGCTCCTTCAATTGCGGAGGCATGACGAGACCGTTGCTGAGGACTACGAGCGTTACCTTCGGATTGATCTCAATCACTTCTGCGATCATGGCTGAGTTGTCCATGCTGCTCTCGTCGCCAGATACAAGTACCGTGGAATCTGATGGTTCAGATTCCACAACGATTGGCATGCCGTTGACGGTGGGCAGCTTGTTGCCGGTCTTCTTAGCGAGCGCGGCCAAGTCAGCGGCCGTCTTCACCGGCTCCGCCACCGGTACCTGCAGGAACCGCAGAATCTGAGCGAAGCTGTTCTTCACTTGCGACGGAGACGTCATGCAAGCCACTGTAAGCCCGCCGAGCTCTGTCATGAAATTGTCATCCGTCTGTGCAACGAAGACAAATGGCACCGAGCCGTCGGCGCGATCCTTTAGAGATTGCACCTCCTCAATGTCCTTGAACCCCTTCGTGATAATGCTGAAGCGCTGGTCGCTCAGAAGAGTGGTCCACAGATCCTTGGGCGCTGCTGCCGAGCACGAGAAAACCATCGCTACGCACACCATAAGCAGGAACACACGTGCAGACGCCATCGCTGTAGCAGCTATGGCGATCAATCTGCTAGCTACAAAGGCGAAGGAGAAGGAGAAGGAGAAGAGATCGTTGACACGCTTCAGCTAATACGCTGCGACGAGCTGAGACTCCTGCTTAACGACGACACGGGCGGACGCGGACCTCTGCCGCGTGAAGCTCGCACAAGTGTGCGTGTGTTGTGTGCTCAGCCGAACGGGCTCGGAGATATTATATTGCGTGTGTTGCATGTTTTCGAAGGCATCTGGGGCCATTTCCCACCAGCAGCGTTGAGTTTCCTCAATGTCTGAATCTGGTCATGTTTGTGGATGTGCAGAAATGGCGTCGAGTTTCCTCAAACACACATCTCCACAAACACTTCCAGATTCAGGCGCTGAGGAAACTCAACGCTGCTAGTGGGACTTGGCCCCAGTGTCTGGCGCTCTTTACACTCACCAGCAAATGTGCAGTGCAAACTGGGGCTAGGTCCCACTTACACGAATTAAGCGATATTGACCGTAGATTGCAAAGATCAACGGCCAGAATCTCTTAATCCGTGCAAGTTGGACCTTGCCCCTGGAGAGGGATGGGCCTTGCCACACCACTGGGAAACGCGAAAAAATGTCGGCCGCAAGTGCACGCCCAAGGTGACCAGATGCATTTGCTACTATTTATAGTAGCGTACGCATCTGTACACTATCTGCGTGAACATGCACTCGACATTTTTCTTGTTTCGTTATTAGTAGTGTGGTGATGTCGAAACGTGCAAAATGACAACGAACTTACCGCTAGAACCTGGCCAGATGCGCCCGCCACATTTTTGTCTTTTGCACACTTCGAGAGTGGTGTGGCGAGGCCCTTACTTTTCACGTTTGGTGCGTGGCGCGACAAGGCCCGTCTTCGCGCTTTTTGCGCTTTTCGTGGTGAAGTGGCAGTCGGTGCAGTTCCGTTCGGTTGTTTTTTGTTTGTTTGCGCTTTCTTTTTTGTCTTTTGCGCTTTGCCAGAACTCTGCTTTGGGGGGGGCTGCCACCATAGTGCTTGCTGCCCGCGCGGTTTTCCCGCGCTCGGTTTTCCCGCGCGCGCCCTCCGATGGCAATAACGAATGTATCTGGCCATTTGGCCCCCTTTGTTTTTTTGTTTTTTTTTTACGAGAAACAGGTTGCCTGAGGCCGGGGACCTCACAATTCAACCCGGGGTTATCCCGGCAGCATCAGCGGGTTTAGCTTATGCCAAACGACCATTATCGTTCCTTCCATTCCTACCACCTACTAACCAATCTGCATCCGACCATTCCTACTTCTGAAGCCCGGTAAGCTTATCTATCGACTAGAAGGGCTACCAACACCTAATATCCTACAAGGGGACTATACGCCCTCCCCCGAGTCTAAAAGGACTCGGATTCTACAGACTCCTCTCTCCACGATACTAACCCGGACCGGTTGGCCTCCTGCGGCCTCTAACCAATATACTACTGTTATACCGCGTTCCACGCGGGGACGCAGCCATTCGGGTAGTATGTGTCGTGTTCCAGACAGTAAGCTTGGCAGGCTAGGGCCAGAAGTTGTGGTAGCCCTGACGTTGCATATGAGGGACGGTCAGCCTTCTGGATTTGGCAGGCTAGGGCCAGAAGTTGTGGTAGCCCTGACGTTGCATATGTTAGACCTTGGCCAGGGGACCAGGCGATTAGACACTGCCTGTTAGACCTAGAACTGCATTCCTCATACCCAGAAGTGTATTCCTCATATAGGGTTGCAGAAGCATGTTTAAACCACCAGTACCTTTCTCAGTTATTGATGCCGAGTTTAAAATTGCCCTGCAAGCCAATTTTTGCCGAGCCTGCAAGTGAAAGGTACCAGCACAAGGGAAAAAGAGGGCGGTTCCGGTACCCTCCTCTCTGAAACCCTTCTGCTGGACCTCTGACCAGCAGAGGGAATACAAAGAAGGTCGTCGTTTTCACGCACGAAAAAGAAAAGAAGTGAAAAAAAAAAAAAAAGAAAGACGCCGAAGGCATTCAAGTGCTCCCCACCTCTGACGGGAGTCTTTTTTTTAATCTGGACTCTGGAGAGGACAGCGGCCTTTCCGGTCTTTTTTATTTTGCATTGTAGTATTACTGTGGGAACCCCGTAGCAGCCAGTCCGTGTTCAAGCCTCCAACGACGGAACATGGGCGGGCTGTACTCTACTTGCAGGTGGGCGATACCGGCCAGGGGTCAGCCGGTAGCATCAGGACCGAGCTTCTTCAATGGGTCAGTCGTTGTGCCTCCCCTCCAGTCTCCTCCCCCTACAAACATTAGCAGTCACTAATCAATGCCACTCTCGGGGACCAAGGGGCTCTCTCTCGGTGGCAGCCGCCAAGCTTGAGCAGGAAGATACATGAGCCGAATGGGGATTGAGCCCGACCTCCTGAATGCCACTCGCGTCCCTTACCTTACCAGCAGCTGATCGATCGGGAGCCCCTGATAAACAACCGAGATTCTGTTTCCTCAGGAAAGAAAAAAAAGAGTCCAGTTGATGTAGCTCAGTGGTTAGAGCACCGGTTGGAAATGCGCATTGTGGTATGAGGTTGCGGGTTAAAAACTCAATTGCAGCCTTGCGCATGGACAACGGCAGGGCGTTAGAATGACGCACAGCTGGACACACATTCCCTTGGGCTGACGCATGGTAAGCTTATGCAGACACTGCCTGTGCACCACCCAAGGGTTGTCCATGGTGTTGTATGTCGGGTCTTGATACTGCGTGGGTTGCTTGTGGCTGTTGCTCGTGGTTGTTCTGAAGATCTCCCCAGTCATGGGTTCGAGTCTGGCTTGGGAGTTTGGGGGGGGTTCTTGTCCAGCTTGGCCTGTCATCTCTTCAAATGAACACAGAGTTCCCTCTACATAGTACTGCACATATCTGGCCTTCGGGCACATACATCTCGCTRTACAGTTAGACAGAGYACACATACCCTTYGGGCAGATACACAAACACATGGCCCTATGGGCTCATACAAACATACATAGCCTCTGGCCATACACACATACACACAACTACGATACTGGGCAGGGGGGGTATATCAGTTATATGATGGGGTCTGCTCACGCATGGCTTAGCTCTAGGGTAGGAGTAGGGATATAAGTCGCTCCGGCTAGTATGAGTTCCGCCTAGCCTTGGGTAAGCTAGGGGAAGGACGGTAGGATGTGTACGCGGGCGCTGGCCTGCCTTGCTTAGGTAATCCTGCTGGGTAGACTCTCTGAATTGGGCCTGCAGAAGATTGCATGAGCCTGGCGTCCGAAGTTCCTGTATGGCAAGGTTCGTCCGCTTCCGCTTCCATCAGGGCTGGGAGGTTGGCCCAGCCTTGGTGGTTGTCACTGTTGTTTGCTCCAAGTTACCCTCGATACTGGTAGGGCTATGGTCCTGAGTGTTGGTCACAGTGAGGTAGGATAGTAGTGACAGGGGGTGCGCTGGGAGTATTAACGTTGGGATGGGTAGGGTAGGTGGCCTATCCTGTCAGGACATCCATTGGCTGCCGCTACCAGGAATCACCGCGGGTCTGGTCCTTGGCCTCTAAAACACCCTAAGAAAAGAAGAAAAAAAAAAAAAAAATTCAAAAATGAATAGCAAGCTACTGAGGCCTTGTCGTACCACCTCATGCCTGGCCAGAGGTACAGTCAGATGCATTGTGGACAGGGCTTCCTGAGAATGCCTTGAAAAGAAGGGGATTGTCGACAGGGTTGCGTGAGACAGGGGTGCGTGAGAATGCCTTGAAAAGAAGGGGGCTGACAAAAGCAATAGGGCGTCCTCCCACTACTCTCGACATGCTCAAAAGACACAAATCATGGCCGTGTATCTTTCCATGTTCTAGCGGAAAATTGATTCTCATTTTGCACGAGGCCCATATATTGCTCCCCCCGCCTCTCACGCGGAGTCACTTCCGAAAAAAAAAACAAAAAAAACAAAGGCAAAATGTCATTTCAACCTCTGAACTACTTGACGTGTATGTACCCATGTTCTACAGGACTATTCATTCTCATTTTGCACATTCGGTGAGTCGTGGAACCAGGCCCTAGAAGGCAGGGCACTGCCTTTTCGTTTTTTCGACACTTCGTAGCAGTAAACAGATGAATGCTTCCCATATTTCTCGGGAGATGCACTTCAAACTGAAAAAAAAACAAAAGCAAAAATGCCCAGGCCCAAATCGTCCGCCCCTATTTTGAAACGGGAAAAAACGCAACCCCTCAAAAGTGAAACTGTGGACGGCGCCTTATGATGTTTTTCGAACGACCTGGACAAGCTAACCTGCCTTGTGACCGATCTTAGGGACGACTGCGACCGGACCCTTTTTCTGCTTTCGGAAACCCCAAACGGACCCATCTTAGCAACGCTGTACTGCACGACATTACCCAAAATGGAAAGGACACGAAACGACGAAACACAAACCACACAAGGCGCAGCCTCCTGGCTGCGAACTTCCCCCACCGAGAGGGCAGGTGGGGGTGGGACAGTGTCATTGGCCTCCTGCGGCCTCTAACCAATATACTACTTCCCCCACCGAGAGGGCAGGTGGGGGTGGGACAGTGTCACTGTCCAATCATTCTCTGAGCGGACGAAAACACCAGTTTTCCGTCTACAGTTACCCCTACCAATTGACTGCCTCTTGCCCATGTGAACAGAAACCAAGTCCTACCCCCCGGAGATCTCCCTTTATCCGCTTTGCGGTGCCAATCAACCAAAATCATGGTCCAGATCAGTGCCTTCACTTTCCGCTTGACAGTCTCATCTGCCTGCCATTCGTTTCTGAACATAATTTGGTTGCCGTCCTCCCAAATTATCCACATCACCGCCGACCTGATGGCATGAGCCATGTACCCCCAGCCTTTTTTTGAGCTAAAAGGTGGAGGGAGGTGGCCAGTAGCTATCCACTCCCTATCCCATGCCAATGCTGATCCCAGGTTCTGCCAGTGCCCAACCCACCATCTCCAAATTCTCTTCGAGGCCGGACAGTCCCAAATTAAGTGGAGGATTGTTTGTTCTTCTCTATTTCCTCATCTGGGACAAGTCCTCCTGATCTGCATTCCTATGTCCGCCAACCAGGTTGCTGACGGGATAGCCGAATGAGATAGCAACCAGAGGAGGCCCGAAAACTTGATACTCGGGTGCAGGGGTAG